GGGGGGTAGGAGGGAAGGCGATGCATTCCGCATCGTGGGAGGAGGAAGGGGGGAATTCCGTCTCCACCCTAAGTGGAGTTCCCCTCCACTCCACACGTCTCACTCTTTCTCTCCCTCCCCCTCCGCACCCCAGAGTCACCAGCAACAGACGGAAGCGCGCGGAAACGGGCCGACCCTTTGAGAAGCTTGTTCGACCCGTTTTGGGGACCACCACGAACCACCGGACCCGCGCACGAGCCCGCCAGCAGTGCGAGTGAGAAGGATCTATATGGGCGGCTATAGAGAGCGTCTCGTCTCACTCGCACTCTCGGGACTGGTGGTGGTGGTCCGGCCGCTGCTCACCTCTGCCCGCCAGCTCCCAGAGCGGCCGGCAGCCGCCCGGGAGGTAGGCACTCCCAGCCCCTCGCGACACCCGTGCGCCCGCGTTGCCTACCGCGCAGGCGCGCTGCCCGCTGTCGCTCCGCCCGCGCCCGCCGCACAACCAGTTTAAAGAGCCATATGGCAGTAGCAACTCAAAACTTGTCGCATTCTTAAATGACTGTTCCGGTGGGAGCGTGGGAGAAGACTCCACGACAGAACGAAATGGCCAGTGTTTCGTCGAGCGACATCCGCCATGGTAGTAGAAAAGACCACCGGGAGACGGAATCTCTGGCCCCACTGGCCTGCTTCTTCTTATTCCGAGGAGTATTTCTGATCTCACGTCGGAATAGTCCATGCATACGAAAGTTCCGGAAGTTCTAAGAATTGCGTCAGGGCTCAGGGCAACCGAAACGTAGTTGACACCGGGCGAATAGTGCGACATAACGTCGCGAGGAGGAAGGAGGACGTCAAAAGTCTAGGGCCTAGACGAGGGGGTTTTCACTCGAGATTTCCGTGCACACAGTATTTCGTAATACGTGTATTTCGGCGGTATTTCTCAGGAAAAGTTCACCGTTTTGGAGCATATTTAGGCGTATTTCGGTGTATTTCACGTGAAATACCTGTGAAATACCTCATTTGGTGTACACGGTATTTCAGAAGTGAAAACCCCCTCGGGCCTAGACTCTAGGCCGTGTCTGTCCGCAGCGTCAGCGTCACACCGTCGGGGATGACCTCTTCTGGGGGCGCGCCCGGCTGGGCAACGCACTTCGCAGCGGCCAAGGCGTAAACTGAGCTTGACTGCCGAGTGCATCATCCTCACGCTCTTCATCACGGCGACGCTGAGGCTGAGCATCGGTCATGCCCCCCCCCCTCCCTCTCTCCAGTCTATCTCTATGGCACTCCGGCAGGTGGCGCTCCCCCCCCCCTCTCCCTCTCCTCACTCTCTATACCTCCCTACCTCCCTCCCTCCCTCTCTCGCCCCTTTCCGGGTCCGCCACCCGGACGGACGGGGGCGTAAAGGCCTTGCATAAAGCCGATATAAAAGCGAGATGCGACACACTCCGCCGCGCCCCGAATCACGTCCCGAAGCACCACGGGCGTGAAGAGCGAGCAAGCGAGCGCGAGATAGGGTGTGGAGTAGGGAGGTGCGAAAGTCCGCTTTTTTGAGTCGCCGAATCGTAATAGTGCGGGAAAGTTGCCTTTTCACATCCGAAGTCTAGACGTAATTTTATTTTCGCGATCGGACTTAATCTTGAACTCGAGATTTGAGCTTAAAGTTTAAAATACGGTTCTTATGGGCATTTATGACAAAAACAGAAAATTTGGCCTGAACCGCACAGGTTCCGCCTGAGACAAAATCTAAGGCCATATCCGTGATCTACGTAAGAACCCGAGTCAGGACACGTTCCGCATGCCATGCTCCTCCCTCTAATTTCCGAATAAATTTTCCAAAAATTAATGTTTTTTTAGTAAAAACGGCTAATTTACTTACTCTAAAACTGTTATTAGATGACGGAGTAAGGTATTTGAAACATGGTCTGAATCGTTTTTTCACGTAAATCACGGATATGGCTTTAGTTTTTGTCTGTGACGGAACCTGTGCGGTCAAGGCCAAATTTTCTGTTTTTGACATAAATGCCCATAAGAACCTTATATTAAACTTCAAGCTCAAATCTCGACTTAAAGATTCATTCCGATCGCGAAAATAAAATTACGTCTAGATTTCGGATGTGAAAAGGCAACTTTCCCGCACTATTACGATTCGGCGACTCAAAAAAGCGGACTTTCGCACCTCCCTAGTGTGGAGTGAGAGAGAAACAAAAACATCTCTCCATCTCGTTCGCAGCGTGACGCCGTTGGGAATCGCACCCTGATAGGCCGCATATGCTTGTTGTTAAAGCAAAAGTGCATAATACAAATTCGCTCGGTGGTAAGAAAAAAAAAAACAATAACACAAAACAAATCCAGATTTGCCTGTTGGTAGTTAATGCCAGGGGGTAAAGGAAAAGTATGGTCGAGTGCAGCAGGAGAGAAAGGAGAGAAAGGGCGGTGAGTGTTAGAGACACACTCTCTCTCTCTCTCTCTCTCTCTCTCTCTCTCTCTCTCTCTCTCTCTCTCTCTCTCTCACACACACACACACACACACAGAGAGCAGAGAGAGAGAGAGTGTGTGTGTGTGTGCGAGAGAGAGAAGAAGCGAGATACGACGAAGCGCGGCAAATCTGGAAATCCGAGTGGCTCCGCTCGTAAAAACAGCATCAGCGCGCGGGCAGAGAGAGTGCGCACGTGCGTCTATGTGTGTGTGCGTCTGTGTGGGGGAGGGATGTGCGCGTGCGCGTGTGTGGGTGTGGGTGCGGGCGAGTGTAGCCGGGCCCGGCCGATGTGTGAGGAAGAGCCACACAAAGGGCTCAGAATGGCAGTGATACCGGAGCACAGCGGGCACAGTCGGAGAGCCCCGGGCCCCGGGGGGCTGGAGGGGGGTGAGGAGCAAGGAGACGGAGTGCAGCAGATTGCAATCCAGCTTTTGCAATGCTCCTCTCCCTAC